TCAATCCAAGTCGCTACAGTTCCTAAAATACCTGTCGCTTTGAGTTTAAGTAAGAGCCTCTTGTGGGGGACAACATCAAAAGCCTTTTGGAAATCTAAGTAGATGACATCATAGGCCTTATTATCATCAACTTCCTGAGTAGCTTCCTCAAAAAACTCCAACAGATTTGTTAAACAGGATCTACCTCTCCTAAATCCATGCTGGCTATCCCTCAAAATGTTATTTGAGTCCAGGTAAACTTAACCATAAAATATATTGCTGTCAGAAGTGGGATTTGAACCCACGCCTCCAGGGGAGACTGCGACCTGAACGCAGCGCCTTAGACCGCTCCGCCATCCTGACTGCACAAAGATCAAAAGAATTAATGAAAACACTTATTTTAATACATTAAAGGATGCAGCACATTTTTAGGCTTGTGCTAATTCATTAATAAGCTAAAGGAAACTGCCCTGCTGAAAAACATATTAACGAGGCAATTTGTATCAACAGGCCAAATCTCTCTACAGTGAAAAAGGAAGGATATGGAAAATGAGCACTAATGAACATATTTCACTGCTTTGATTTTAGCGAACAAGGAAATCTGTATCTGAATACGATTATACATGCAAGGAATTCTGGGTAGTTTATGACATCGTGGCTTCCATTATGAAAGGGGTGGGCCGTGCGACGCTGAATTACAAAGAGGTGAAAAGGCAAATTGAGTGTGGTGAAATTTTAAAAAGGTTCTCCTGTTTTCATACCACAAACCAAAAGCATGGAGAGATGGGGTTCCCAGAGCAATGCGGGGAAATAACCGAACATCTAGGAAATACGAACAGCCTGCGTCCAAAACCAGCAACTCCTAATTCCACCCTTGATCCTAATCAAGATCTCATTTGTTTCAGATTGCTTTCCATTTAAAAGAAATTTGAATGTAAATTTAACGGTCAAGAGTTAAAATGAAATAACTCTAGCTGCTCTGGGGGAAACTGTTAGAAATGCCCCGGTCTGACCTACTGGGAAGGCTGTAAGCATCAATTTAATGTCCCACCCGCACCAGAGTCTCTTCCTGTACGTCACTGGGATCATGAAGAGAGGGTACCAGGAGGAGGAGGAGGAGGACTACAGCACCTCCGGGGGAGCCTCCAAGCGAGAGAGACCGCAGAAGACAACCACAGCGCTTTAACGAGCCTCAGCGACCCCGTGGCCAATCCACCATGACTACGCTTCCTATGTATATACTGTATTCGGTTTTTTTATCCATTTTCTGCGATGTGTCTTTAAGCAGGTGATTTTATTTAGCTTTACCTAACCTGAAATATTTATACTTAACCAAATACAATTAAATATTTAAAAAATTGTCTCTCAGGCAATACATGGCTGTGTCTTTGTAGTAGAATACAACAAATAAAGCTTCAAAAACAGGTAAAAGACCAGAAAGAATAAAATTAACACACTAAAGAAAACCTAACTTTATTCCCTTTAGTCTTCATTGTTCCCACTTCACAAATTTGATACATCTTAATCCCTTCAAAGACCATACGGCAAATTTTTTAGTGCATAAAGTTCAAACAAGGACCCCAAAAACGACACCAGCTCCTTCATGAATTTATTTGATCAGGGGTGCCAAAAAAAACAAAAAAAAAAAACAACCAAAACAAAGGACCGTGGGGAAATTAATCCAGTATTTCATTGACTGGAAGCTTTATTTTTCCCAAAATTCAGTGTTTTTTCTTTCTTCAATTTACATGAAGACTTAACGCAATGATCTAAAAAATTTAAACATCCGGTATTGTCACACGCAGAAAATACTGACAATTGCCAACAAGAACTCAAATTCTTTCACGTTCTGGCCATTTTGACATGGGCCATTCTGAACACATCCTGAGAACATTTCATCTTGTACGAACACGTGCCAAGAACCAATCAGAGGATAGTACCAAAAGAAAATGAGGCTTGCGATGACAGGTGACTGATGCAACGATCAAAAACAGAAATGCTTTTCATGAAATACAAGTTTGAAAGCAGTTTAAACCCACCGATATTGCTCTGATTTTTGGGAGGGACCCCCCCCCTTCTCCCTACACCAGGCTGTACTTTCTGCAGGTCAAGTTCCCCTTTACCTTAACGGCCAAGCTGCAGGCCTTCGACAAAGCGCTGGGACTGGGCAGCACCCCCAGCCTGCTGTCAGGCCCCACGGGCTTCCCCAGAACCCAAAGTCGCCATTCTGTCACGCTGCTGTTCTGCGCGGGTTGGGCTCATTTTCCAGGCGGGAGCTGGCAGCTGTAATTAAGGTTGGGCTGATGTAAAGGGTGGGGGGGGGGGGACTCGGTTTGTGTGGGTGGGGTTTTCCGGCACCTTCCGCTGGTCACTGGGTGGCTTTGGTCTTCTTGCTTTTGCTCTTTTTGTCCTTCTTCTTCAGACCGTCCATGTGCGCCCTCAGTAGGTTAGAGTAGGCCTACACAACGGGGGCAGTTCATGCAGCTCAACGTCATTGTAGAGACCTCCACAAGTGACTGACCCAACCCTGCATGTCTAGTTCTCAAAACTAATACAATATGGATGCTTTAAGTAACCCCAGTTATCACACACATCACTGTGGTCTATACAAGGCATTTATTATGGCACAGACCTACAGTCTTGATTTTATTTAAACGGTATAAGGCATCATGTCAGGAACTAATCTGGCGCCTTTCAACCACCATCGATTAGCCATTTAACAGCCCAGATTCAGGTTACATACCTCATTAAAGGGTATAACAGTAAAACTCTCTGGACATGAGCCAACAACCTTCAGATCAGGAGACCCAGTGTATAACCACTATGCTACCTGCTCACTGCCCCATACAAGAGTAAAATTAAACCCCAATGGACCTGCTTTCAGCACCACAGCCAATCATACATGTCCACCTAACTGCAGTGAAAAAGGGAGGAGGGAGATGGAACACATACATTTTGGAGACTCCTTATGCTTTCATTAGTACTACAAAATAATATTGGCACTTACACTCACTGACACCATACAAAATGTGGGGGGGAAAAAACTGCCTGATTTTGGTTTCTCAATCCATTGATTCGAAACCTTTGACAAATAATGCCGAGGGTTTTTCACATCTGGTCGACTTGTCTCAGCCATCGAATGCAACTGACAGTAGTGTCGTCAAACTACTTTACTACCCAGAGTCGCAGCAGAGAACCACCAGCTCTGTCTGATTTATCCCACTTGGTTCCTCAAATAAGCCAAGTGTACTTGATGTACACTATCCACAAAGTATGGAAATGTTCTTTGGCTAAGTACATAGACCACAATGCACCGCGGGTGATAACTAATATTCACATCGAATACAAGGAAATCTACGGGCTTATCAAAGCCCAACAGGCCTGCAAAAAGTTTCTATATGCAGTTTAAATATGTGCAATGTCATACAATGAATGTTTACACAGCCTAAGACATAAAAAGTGTCAGTTTCACAGATAAAATACGAGGCTTGACACTTATGGTCAAAACACTCACCATCTGGAACTTTATAACTTCTTTACTGCTGACCTGAAAAAAAGTAAACAAAAAACACATTTGATGGTTTTGCCTTCAACTGCAGCCTTCCAATTTAAAAGTCCCTACTGACTTGTGTAATGAATTGTCAAAGTTTATTAGACACTATATATAAAGGGGCATTTTAAAGCAAATATGTACATTTTTAATGGTTTTAAAGCCTCATGCAGAGTGGAAGACTCACCACTGTGCTGATTTTCCTCTTGCCGTCTGTTGCCCGGAGGAGACACTTGTTATCAGATGGTTCAAAAGTGTCTGGGTTTCCTTTCCTGGGGACTGGTTTTGTCCTGCCGTCATCTGTGTGGATGTGGAGAAATCGGGTATGGGTTTCTATACAGTAATGTACACCCTCATTCCTCATCACTCAAACAGTGGCATTGCATATGAAAGACCAGACCACAGGAGACGCAGGACTTACACTTCTTTAATGTGATGTAAACGCTCCCACTGGTCCGGCATTTCTGAAAGAGCCGCGTCAGTTCGGTCAGGAACTAGAAAAAGAAAAATCGGTTCACATCACGCCCTTCCAAAATAGGCCCCTTGGCATGTCATCTTTACAGTATTACACGAGTGAAAAATGGATACAAAGTGACAGAAATGCATTCATACAAGCTCTGCAGGATGATTGACTAAATCAGTTTTAATAACGGGCGCTAGATAACATTTACATAACTCTGAGCTATTGGTCAAGTTCTCCCCAAGCGAGCTTGATGGGCCGAATGGCCTCCTCTCGTTTGTAAATTTCTTATGTTCTTATGACAACCCGGTTATTCCGTAAGTTTCATCCAGGAGGGGGAGGCAACACTACAGGCTTATCGATACGGAATTTCGAATTAATGCTTCTGCCACAGTTATCGCGATGCACAGCAGTTATATCAATGCGTATTTAAGGTATACACAGTGGTTACCACTGGGTTTTCATCAGTCTATTTGATATCTTCCCGGCTCATGTGTACGTGTGGTAACAGATGGTTAAAACCGTTCATAGTACACATACTCTTTAACTGTTTTAGTACTCCCCCGTCGTCTTCATTCGGGGTTAATACCGGTGTTATTTGTTTTTCTTATTTTTAATTAAATAATTCAAATCTCCCAGGTTTTTGTAATCTGCCCAGAGAATGGTACCCAATCTGGCTAGCCAACTCTTTTCACCAGACTATGGTTTACCCGTGGCTGAAATGTCAAATTAAATTAGAAATCGGAAACATTTTAAGAGATACTGATTTTCACTTCGCAGAAGCACCAGGCGTTAGATAAATAAAGCATGCTGTAATTTGTTAAGAGTTCATTGAAATTAACAACGCAAAACACGCCACGAAAAACACCCAACCCAAACTAATCTCATGATTCAATTAATAAATGGAACATACCCTAATAACTTACCGAGTCATTCTCAAGGAGAACCATGACTTTTCCCCGTAATTATAAATCTCAGAAGCGCGACGCTCACAGCTGACTCTAAGCACACGTAACTTAACCGGAAGTTAATGTCTAGCCACGACCTTTCACCTTTGACTTTGTGTCATGTGACGCAAAACAAGGAAGTAAACGTAAGCGAGCAGTATCACAGCAGCGTAGCCGGCACCCAAATTGTTCGTCAGTGATGCTTTTGCGGTTTAATTTTATTTTTGGTAAATATGTACATGTATTCAGTGTAATATATGTTATATGGAAAAAATGTTTAAATAAATAGACAACGTTAAACGTGTTAAGCGTTCTGCTGTACGTTTATAGACCAGAGTAAATATTTAGTTTTAATCTCTTTCACGTAATTTGTCAAACGTAACACCTGAGAAGTATTTATAAAAGAAGGGAAGCAGCTATACGACAGTCTTTACAAAATAGTGTGGAGACAGGTGTAGTAAACGATTTTATTTATGAAACAGATTAAAAATGTTAATGCTTATGTTACATCACGCCTACTGAATGGGGAAAACACTTGGGACCAGAGTTGCTTAAAACATACTCAAAACTAATACTTGAAAATTCAGCATGTCATCTTAAGGCAGACTGCATACGTGTCCCTACACCTTCTTTCGCCTAAGAACGATTCTGATCTGTTAGCTAGATTATTCTTCTAACACAGTGTTGCGTTATTTCAGGATCTATTGGTAAATGTACATTCGGGGTTGTAACCAAGGTTAGACAGCTTGAAGGCGTATCGAGAGTTCCAGTCCCTCTCAAAGGCCGCCCTCAGCTGCTCCTGCAGCGTCTGTCCTGTCCGGCCTGGATGCGGCTTGTTCTGGGAAACTACCAGCCCCACGCCGGCAGTATTGGCAAAGTAGTCAGCTGACCAGTTTGACGTACCTGCACATAGATGAAATGGGCTCAGCGGATGCAAATGTTTTTTATTATTATTTCATTTTGTTATGTTAATTGCTCTGCCTTACCAACGTACGCCGCTTTATCTGTCACCATATATTTATTATGGTTTACTCTGGAAAAAGGAATGTCTGATTGGTTCGCCACTGGTACGATATACACTTTCTGAAAAACCAAAAGACATAGATCATAGATGTTTGAAATGGTAAATCACTGAGATTTGACCAGTCAGCTAGAAACAATAATAGAATTTAGAAGCTACGGAAATGTTTTGTGAACAGGACTTATGTACTAGTGCGATAACGCCACATCGTACCACTTCAATGCTGATGTTGGCCGCTGGGTAGTGCAGATCATTGAGAGATTTCAAAAACGGCAGCATGGCTGGATCGGTGTCCTGACCGCAACTGACCAGCAGGCGGACTGCAACCTGCTTTGCGAAAGCCGTTTGCCTCAATGCGTCGTCAAGTGCAGGCCAGTAGCTTGAAAAAGAAAACCAGATTACACGATGAAAATGTCCATGCTGTTAATGAACAGATCATATTTACTATTTCCTTATTTTGACCACAAGAGGTCCGTGAAAAATAAGAATTCACATGTCCAGCTGTAATACCACATCAATCCACTTGAGGGCACAGTGAATTTTATGTTAAATGCATCATAAGAAGATAAGAAATTTACAAACGAAAAGGAGGCTATTCGGCCCATCAAGCTCGTTTGGGGAGAATTTAACTAATAGCTCAGAAATGTTGTACTACACACAGAAAGTTTAATGTTTCTAAATAGAAACAACAAAAGAGTGTCCATCCATCCATCTTCAAACTACTTAACCAATTTGTCTAAGCACATGTCTTTGATCAGCAGGAAATTTCCCATAGAAAATCCATGCGACACAAAGAAAACATGCAAACTCCACATGCACAGAGCTGAAGTGGCATAAGAACCCTCAACCCTAGATATGTACAAGAATGTATATGCAAATTTCTGACAGATAAATGGCATATAAATGACATTTAATAATCAGGGGTCCAAGATTTTGTTTCAACCAACCATTTGAGCATAAAGAGTCACAGACACAGAGTACTCAGCTGCTTGGTTGAAGCAAAATCTTGGATTGGATTTTTACTTTCTGGGCCTGAAATTTCCACCTCTGTTAATAATCACTGAGCTCATTGCAGGCTGCTTATCCCATGATGCAGGCCATCCTGGGCTCACCTGGAAGGTTTTGTAAAGCGAGACGTGGGAAAGTACTCCATGACGGCCACATCAACGAAAAGCTCCGCCTCCTGAATCACAGTGAGGATGGCGTCTAGATCCATTGTTCGAGTGCTTGGGCAGAATGACGGAGGTGAGGCCTGATAAGGAACAAGGAACAAGTTTTATTTGGATGTGGCTTTAATTATGTAAAGACTAACCCCTCCATCATGGCAACGGCGACAATGCGAATACCTGACGACATAACAATGCAATAACATCAGAAGTGCCCTGCATTCAGAATTGGTCAGGAGCTGAATATATAACTACATGTATTATAAGAAATCGACACCTCAGTAAATTTTAGACTTAACAGTACAAAAGAGTAGAAGAGACTCAGGTAAAATTCTGTTCCATCAGTTTATAACAAAACCTGTTGTTTCAATGCCGGCCCTGCAGGTCGAAGTTAGATTTTGGGGTTTTAGTTTTGAGTCAGCAAAGATAAGATTTTAATTTCAGGAGGAAAAATAAGTTACATAAAAATAATACTTCCAAGAGGTACAACGACTGGACATTTTTGACAATTTTAAAGTCATATTCAGCACATCCTTATATCCTTTTTGCTTTTCATAGCAACCTTGTTAAAAACTAACCCATTAAAACTCTAATCATACTGGTTGACAGTAATTTACTCTGCAGCTGTTTAACTAAAAATGTAGGGGTTGGGGGAAAGCAGGAGGAAATGAGGACTCACAGAGATGTAGATCGCACTGGCTGCACCGCTTATGTTAACCATCAGGGGGCTCTCTTTGTTGATGGAGGTGTCAAAATATGCGGGCCAGTGTTTCGGGACTGAGGCGTTGTGGCGTCCCATAACCCAATATGATTTGAAGATCTTATATAGGTCGGCAGCCAGATGAGGGCAGTCATAGACAACCACGCCAAGCTCCTTCACCTTGGTTTGATAGATAAATAAATAAATATGTGCTGAGCAGACCTTGAAAACTCAGATTTTTTTCAACGTTCCATACCTGCCTGGTTATTTAGAGATATAAAAATCTGCAGCCTTCACCTGTGTCAAAGCTCTCCAGTCCATATTGGCACTTCCGATGAAGATGTGCTTCATGTCTACCACCCAGAGCTTGGTGTGGAGTACACCCCCAGTCAGATGGCCAAAGTTAACCTTTCTCACATGAATCCCTGTTGGAGGGGAAACACATTATGAAGGCTGACTTTGCATCTGGAGAATAAAATAGTTTAGCATGTAGGTAACTGGTCTTGAAATGGGAACCTTTAGCCTTGAGAACCTTCAGGTCAGTAGAGTTGTTTCTCACAGTTGGAACGCTGGTTGCCACCCAGACTGAAACATTTCTGGATGGAAGGTCCTGGAAGCGCTTGAATATGTCCCTGCCCTGTGAAACATAGAAGCCCAGAAGTCATCAGCCCAAAGGGGGTAACACTTCAGCAGGTGTCAGGCTGTCATGTCATGACTTCTGACACAAGATGACTCACAAGCCAATCCGTGGAGGAGTTGACTCCGATGTCATAGTCCGTGAGAGTCCAGTAGAAAGATGCCACATAGACACTGTTGGTTGCCCGGGTGAGGAGGTCTTTCCAGGCTTCGTACATGGGAATCCCGAAGGTGGCGTTGGAGTCATAATTCATGTACAGAGGGATGCTCTCAGCTAAAACAATCCTGGGGAATTTACAAGGATATATGTATTTTTTCAATACTTTACCTGGTGTGGTTACAGCAGGGCTGCTGTTGGAGATTTTGGGCCCCATGAAAGCATATCATATTGGGCCCCCAACCCAGACCAATCCAATTATGTTCCCAACTGTCCCCCTCTTAATGGCGCCCCTGGGATACAGTAACTGATCCTCCTCTTCCTAGAGAACACCCTCAGAAAAAAGGGTAAAAACTGACCTTTGTAATTGTTCCTTTTAAGGTACAGAAACGGACTTTGATGAACATCCCAAAGGTAGAAACAGCTTTAATGTACCATCAGTGGTACAGGAATGTTCTTGAGGGTACAAGCGCAGTGACAAGCAAAGGTACAAATTTTTACTCTTTTTTTTTTTTTTCCCTGAGATTGCATAGTAATAGATACATCACACTGTGTGGGAATATTTCTTTATGAAGAACAATGAAAGCTGTAATTTCCTCATCTCCTCACCTGCACTGCCCATCTGAGACAGGGTGCTGACTGAGCTGATCATCCTCTGGGTCCCATGCAGCTGACCCCCCCGCAGCCCTGACCCCCCCAGGGTCGCCTGCTTTGTGGGTGGATTTCTCTCGCAGGGTTAGGAAGAGGAGGGTCCCCAATGCAGCCAGGCACCCAACACTCAAGGTGAAGGTTTTACATTTTCTACCAATGTTCTAACAAAAAACAAATGCATTCAAGCACTTGGATTTTTTTTATGCAAGTACTGGGTATACAGGTATATAAGTTTTTTGTAACAGACAAGATTCATCTTACCTTTCGGTTGGAAACATAATTGTCATGCAAAGCAGTGTATGGAGAGAACATTTCAGTTCCTATTATTCCCTGTCATTGGAGAAAAACAACAGATTACTATTATGATAAAGATGAATTTACATTTATCAACCACAGTAGTGGTATTTCCAGCAAAATTTCCATCTAGTTTCAAAAAAGGCTTTTGGACACTCGAGGTTTATGGTTACTAGTAGTTGACCTGGTAAATCTATTGATGATGAGCAGCGCCAGTCAGTTCATGACAGTTAAGGTTCTGTTTACAGGTTTCACATGGCAGTGTTGAATAGGGAGGTCTGCTGGAAAGGCTAAACTCTGCACCAACACACTCAGCTCGAGACCAGCGACGGCATGCAATTCATCAATACGCAACAGATTTATGCCCAAGCATTGTGGGGATTTTAAATGAAACAGCACCACAGAACGTGGAAAAACATTGCAGAATAGGAAGCCTTACCAGTAAATGTCAGGTGTCTGTCCTCTACAAAAATGAAACAATATTTTGTGTTCTCTGGTTCCTCTGAAGACGTATCGTCAGACCCCTGCACAGAAACCCCCCATTTCCCGTTTTAAGTTTGTCCACTTCCCCTTTTGTGTGCATTACAGCTAAAATAAAAGGTTAAAACACACACACTGAAACCCACCTGTCATACTGATACTTCAAGAGAAAGTTCAGCGAAGTGTATGAAATTTGAGCAGCTAGTACAAAATGAACATTGTCCTGATAAAATATCACCCCCCACCCTGCTGCATCATTGCACTATGCACAGTATCTGCGGTAAAGATTCACACTGACCCTGGTCTTGTGCCCCCTTTGCTGCCTGGGACAGGCTCCAACCCCCCCCCCCCCCAAATGACCTTGGCCAGTATAAGTGGTTGGAGGATGGCTGGATGGACACATGCCCACTGAGAGGACGATGGCAAAGAGAGCAATGAACACTTCCATGTTCAATTTAATAAGCTCACAACAGCCGAGTGACACACAACACACACACATCAATAAAGATTGACGTCAATTTATTACAAAAGATAAAATCAAACTTTTCTAAATAATGCAAAAAGATGTACATAATTCCCCCCTTAAACAAATTTTCAAAATAATGTAAATAACCCAGAACTCATCCTTAAATTATACCTTATGTTCATGAAATGAACAAACAATTGAAATGTTAAAAAAAGGGGAAGTAGGAGAGTTTGAAGCTGGAATAGCAGAAAGATGCAGATCTAGTCCAGAATATTGGCGTGATGTTCCTGGAAAATTTTGTTTCTTTTTCTTTCATGCATGCAGGGGTTGACCAAAGGAACCACAAAGGAAATGACCAAGAGGAATTCATGCAGGACACTGAACATCAGCAGCAGTGTTTACGTCACAAGCATCGCAGCCAGTCGCATCAATTTAAACACAGCGGCGGTAAAAGGCATTTCGCACGGGCCAGCATTTCACGATGGTAAGTCAGTACCTTTATTATGTGCAGTAATTCAACAAGAAGTAATGCAACAGCCTCTGAGAGCCGGGGAGAGGTGCATAACCAATTAACGAAAAACAAAGAGCATACCAATACACGTCACGATGGCTAAATTACTTTATGAACAATAGATTGAAAAATACAGTGTTTTTTTCCTTTCAAGCTAGACAAGGTGAGGGTGTTTTTTTATATATCTCATCCAAATCCCCCTGTTCAGTTGGTTTGTTTTCCCACCGCCAACCAGTCTGACAGCTAGGTGTCCTTTTAGGGAAAAAAGCACATTTGGTGTGATACTCTCTACCTCACCCTCACCCCCCCCCCACAAAAACAAAAGACATGTGCCACACGTGCATTTTTGCAAAGCGGCCGCAAGGCCTCGCCCACCCACCTTCAAGTGAAGCTAAGTGCAGAGGGCCCAGGTTACCATGGTACCCTGGGGGACACAGTGTTTTTCTACCATAGTGCAACCAAGAAGAGGAAGCTGACCCAATACAGGATCTCGCTGGGGTGGGGGGGGGGGGTGGAGAAATACAGCCTCAGCAGCATCTATGGGAAATGACGAGCAACAGGCACAGGGTATTTTGGACAGCTACTGGACAAAATTGTGATGGTTCTGAACAGGACACCACTTCAGGACTGGTGTTTAATGCCAGCACAGGGGCGACAGAGTGGTCATCTTTGGCCTTGTGCTACAGTGATGGCTCTACAAAGTGCCAACTTGCCGCTGTTCCAACTGGACTGCAGTAACAAACACAGGGGTGACTTCCGAGCAAGAGGGTGATCTGCATGGGCAAATCATAGTACCTCTGACTACATCCTCCTCATCAAAAACCACCAAAAAAAGCAGACTTGGTGCCATCTGACCGTGAGAGTGAGCAAGCCGGATGGTCCACGGGAGCCCACACGGGTCCAGGCTTGAGATATGAGTGTGGAGGAGACAGGAGACGATTGCAGACAGAGACGAACTAAAAGAAATGTGATCATAAACAGTTCGGCGTACGCCAACTCTCCCATTGTGCTTCCTGGGGATAATCTGGAAAGCGCTACGTTAAATACAGCGTGACATCAAAATCAAAAACACCATCCCAGTTCAAAAACTAAGAAAAATGGACAGATTCCTGTCGCACAAGATCGGTCTGTCATCAGACTCGTTTAGTGTGATATTTTACGAGAATTTAATGCAGTTACTCCACCTGACAGCATCAGGTGGGATTCCAGACAGCAGCTCAACTTCACCAGTTCAAGCAGGACATGGTGCGTTTTAACAGAATGGGGGGGGGGGGGATGTCCGCCACAATGCGCAGGAGCGATTCAAAATCACAGCCAGGACCTGAAGCTCGATCACATGGGTTGTACGACTTTCAGGCTAACGACGTGGACACGGGGAACACGAGTGCAAATGCGGAACGTCAGTGTGAAAGCGAGGGTCAGAGCTCCCGTCCTGCAGTGAGAAACCCTCCACTGCTGTCGCAGCCCAGACCTGTTTTGCTATAGACCCAAATACTGCTCAAAAAGTGAGGATGAAGGCATGCAGGCTGCACTTCCACGCAAGCCGCTTGTTATGGCAAGCAAGGCGTTTTCTAAGACTTGTTTTGTTTAGTCTAGGTTTTTATGCACCATACTGTCATCCCCCACCCATATAAACACACACAGTAAGCACATAAAACCTGATGGACTATACAAGCGTTTGAGTAGAAACTGCCACCAGGGGGCTCCCCGTAGCTTAAAGCATGATGCTCTCAACTTCGGGGTCTGCCATGGCCCTCCTGATACGCTCTCTGGCGCTGTCAGTCTGTGACGGTGGCCTAGATTCCTTGGAGGGAAGGCGGGCCTTGGGAGTGCCGTGCCCCGGGATTGGACAAGGACCTATAATAGTGTTGATGACTGACAAGAGAGAAAGGAAATCGATTAGCGCCATTAGCATCAAACCGCTCAGACAGACATCTCTGCAGGCATGCGTGTTCACTACAAGTCAGTACAGCCGTTATACTGAGTATTACAAAAGTCTCCTAGTCTGTTTACCCTTTTCTTCCTGCATTAATGGAATTATGACAAACAGGAAGACTTAGTGACTGAAAAACAGAAAGTGAAAAGTGGGAGAAGCTCGTCAGATGTCGAGAGTGATCTCACCTTCCAGCTGCTTCTGGACCCTTCTCAGTTCCTTCAAAATGGACATGATTTCCTAAAACACCAAATAAGTCTGTCACCAACCCGAAGGCCACCACTGAGACGGGTGGTTTGCCTTTTAGCACATCTAAACACTACAGCCTTGAATGGTCAGGCGAAGGTGTTTGCAGGACAACCTTGTTGGATGTTTTGAGGATGGGGACTTCGTTGTCCGCGTTAATCCTGGCTTCCAGCTCCTCCCAGGCGTCCAGCTTGTCGTGGAACATGGCCCTGGGGGGGGGGACAGGGAATAAACAGCCTATGTCCAAAATCAATGTAAAGAGACATTTACAGGTACTTCCAGAGTTGGCACTAATCTTCAACATTTAACAAGAAAAAATGCCTTTAGGCATCTCTTAGCCAATCTCCCAACATGCAGGAAATTTGAAAATAATCATACTTTATGGGATGTATGCTGTAGTGTGTGAACCACGTGAAACTTTCTGGAAACCCCACCGCTGCCACACATATTGGTTTCCAGACAACAGAAGGTTGTTTTGCCACGACAGCAGTCCCACACAGCTTGGGCGAGCAAGTAGACAACTTTAACCTGGAACGCAACACTGGGAATGGTCATAGAAGCTCACTTCATTTTCTCCGCCAGCTGTTCCGTGTTTTCACGAATAGCCTGTGATAGCTGAGAGACGGGATTCAGCATCAGGTGATCGAACATGACCTGGAAAGACCAGAAGAACGGGAAAAGTAAATCAAGGGTTTATTCAAATCCTTTTTAGGATCATGGGGGATAAAAACGGTAAAACTAAAATCTGTATGGGACTGAGAGTACCGGAGACTCAAGGGATCATTGTGAATTGCGCTAAGAAGGGCAACAATAAGCTTTTGTGCTGCTGGTTCTGGAGGGAACGTATTGGATTACCTCCTCACGGTTCCACACGCGGCGCTTGGAGTTCAGGTCTTGCTCATTTGTGTTCTGGTCCGGTTCATTGAGCCTGGCAGAACCAGGCGGAACCTTCTGGTAATTTAGGCTGGCTTCTGGAATGTGCTGAACCAACTGGTAGGAGAAGGAGAATAGCAGAGTAAACATACGCGGCGTGAGGGAAAGACGGCTTCGAGGCGACTGCGGGAACACGCTAATCTCAACGTGGGAAGGAGCTGGAAAGTGGATTACAGGAAGGAGCTGGAAAGTGGATTACAGGAAGTGCACAACGGAACAAAATGGAGGGAAGACGGCCTAGGCTGATTCCAACACGGCTAAGGACTAAAAGTGGAGTGACAGCCAATACAGAAGGATGGGAGAGTGAGGTGAAGGTGTGGGGGTGGGGGTATGGGCGGGGTTGGGGGGGAGGAATGGGCTCAGCACCTGAGATGTGCGGGCGGCTTGCCGAGATGGGTTTGTTTTCTGTTCACAGGAAGAGAAAGATCAACATGAAGACAAAGTCCTGGGCAGCTACTGCGCACCTTCTCTGACAACAGCGACCCCTACAGGTTTCAATTTCAGTTTAGGATTGACCGCCACAGATCTGAAGGTTCAGAATGGAGAACAGAGAGAGGTACCTCCTCACGGGCAGAGATGGTAGAAGCGGGGGTGCTGGGAACAGGACTGGGGGCCTGGGAGTCACCATCCCCGGCTACGTCGTGGATCTCCCGGGCCAGGATTGCCAGGTCCTTGGCCAGGTCTTGACTCAGTCTGGGGGAGAGTGGAGGAGGTTGAAAGAGCAAAGCCTACGTTAGACTGCACAGTCATACCCTGTACAGACTACAGACAGCAAGCTGAGGGCAAAGTGGAAGATAGCAATCAAAAATCAGTGTCCACATGTTCTTGCACTGGATGCACATAAAATAGAAAAGCTACACAGGATCTAGCCACACGCCTTCCGAACCTGGCGATCTCCGCACTGTGCGCCGACCAGTTCTGGAAGGGGTCACCCTCGTTCTCCTCATCCTCGGACTGGCGAGACTGTGAGCGGAGGCGGGGCACGTTGGACGCCTGGCCCTGGGGTGTCTGGGTAGCAGCCAACGACTGCGGGCGTTTGTGCTTGGGGGTGCCGTCGTACTCTTCGTCCGACGTGGACGTGTAGTCGGAGCCCTTCTGCCGACGCCGGGACGCTTTTCCCAAGATGCGTGAAGAAAAAAAAAAAAAAGCCATAAGGAAAGATAAGTTGAATATACTGATGGTTAGGTATGATAATGGATTAAATGACTTAGCGATTACTATTAATAATGAGATGACAAGGATGTGATCGCCGGACTACATGGAATCAGGGATTACTGCCACAGTGGGTGACACCATGTTCACAAACTCCAAAAAAAACACTGGAATACCAGTCAGGAAAGCAGCCCCTCCACTAGCACAATGGTAGCTCTGTACTCACCAGCTGTGCCGGAGTACTTGGCGCTGCTGGAGCGAGTCCGGCTGACGGGCTGCTTCCCTGTGGATGCCATACCATGCCGGGACCTGGGTTCGGCAGTGGACGCCTTGCGCACGGAGCTTCCGGGCTCGGAGCTGCGGGTGGAGAAGCCCGTCCGTCCGGCAGAAGACTCGGTGTCGCTGGGTGCGGTGAAGGATCCGGTCCGCTTGCGGGGCAGCGCCAGGACGTCCAGCCGGGACAGCTTCTTGGCATCAGTTGCCGGCTTAGCTGGGTCTGAGTTCTGAGATGTGCGGTCCGTCTCGGTGCCCTCGTTGTCCGAGGCGTCGCCCAGACGGGCACGGCGAAGCATGGAGGCTCGCGTGGCCCGCGGGGCAGAGAGGCTGTTGGAGCGCGTCAGGCCCTGGTGACCCTTGGACGCCTTGCTAAGTTCCTCCCTCTGGGGCCGAATGGAAAGCTTTTTGCCGACAGAGGTACGAGAGCCGGTCTCCTGATCCGATGAGAAGTTGTCATGCCAGTGGCCCTGAGGCTGGATAGAGTTCTGGGTCTCGTCGCTCAGCTCCAAGGAACCGCGGGTCCCAGAGTTGCGCCGGCGGTGGAACCGCTTGTCGGCGTCAGCCTTGCCAGTACCATTGGTGGTCTGAGAGCGCCGCTTCTCGGACAGGCGCTCGAGGGCCGTGGCCGTCTGACCCTGGTCCTGGATGGACAAGGATGACGACTTGCCCTTCTGCGTGCTGCTGACAGCAGCCTTCTTCTTGGACGCGTCGCTGGGAGCATTCTGGTTGCTGACCAGGCTGACTGTGCTAGATGTATCTATGTCCGACTCTCCCGATAGTGAATCCTCTGCTCTCTGGCTACAAGCCTGAGTCTGGGCCTGTAGCTTTGCCTCCAGGGCTGCCAGCGCATTCTCAGTGTCCCTGAGGAAGGACTGTGTGTCCTGTCCGCACTGGCCCTGGTGCGCGTCGGCACGGTCGGCGTCCCTCGGGGCGGAATGACTCTGGATGTGTGGTAGCTGGTGGACATGGACGGCATCACTCTGCTTGTCCCTGGTGAAGCTCTCCTGCCGCAAGAACGAGGCGGCGTTCTCTTTGGCAGTCGTGTCCCCACTGTCCTCCATGAAGAAATTAGAGGCCAAGGCTGAGGCAGTGGACTTGACCGCCCTCTTGGGCTCTAGGCTGGCCTTATGCTGGTTCAGGGTCGTCGCAGAGGAGGCTTTCTGGGGTGGATTCCGATCCTTTTCTGCCAAAGATGGGGCAGCTTCTACATCCTCTGAGCCGATGTAGAAGAACGTGGACTTTGGTTGGGGCCTCGTTTTCTCTTTTGTGGGCCTTTCCGTTCCCCCGGAGAGGGAGTTCCTGCTCCGATCCGCCGCAGCGGAGCCATCGTCAGACTTGCTGGCATCGCTCAGGCTGTCGGGCTCCAGCTCATCCTGCACAGTCAGCCTCTGGACAGCCTCCCCTTGGCGGCCCGTGGCCACGCCCTGCTCGGGGGCCTCGCGGCTTGTGGCGCTTTCCCGTCGCATTGACATGCTGGGGGCCGAGCTCTCGGCTTTTTCAGATGGAGGAACTTGGGGAAGGAGCCGTCGTGTTCTGGAGCCGTGGGTAGCTTCTGGCTCAGCACTGTCCAATCTGTGGTTCGGCAGTGCATGATGGGTAACCGTACCATCTACGCATTGAAACAAATGAGTTATCTGCATTTTCAGTCATCCCAGGTAGTGTTTAAGGATGCTCCCTGGAAGGTGGACTGCTTGGTTCAAAGAAGGCAAACAATTCCCAGACATGTAAATCAAATGGGCTAATGATGGAACACAATGATATTCAACACTCTTACCTCCATCTGTGAAGTTTCCCTGAGGTGGGGTGTCCAGGAGCCCTCCAGGGGGCCCCGATTCAGTGTAGCTGTCAGCCAGGCTGGCCCACCGAGAGACCCACTTGGGGCCACCCGGAGATACAGAGTCAGCGGGCTGTGCCTGCAGCTGTAACACAGGGAATTGGTTAGAAGCAAAGCGTGACTGAAGACAAGTCATCTCAGAACATGTCAGATTCATCTGAAACCATGGCCGTAACCAGTTAAATAAAGCCTGCCCAAATTTTATTCAAATCATACACCATTAGTACAATGCCATTTATGGTTGTGTTTGATGGCACGAATCCTGTTCAGGTTGGGATATTTTTCACGGACGCAGAAAATGTGTTATTAAAACCTTAACACTTTAACCATGGGGGGGAAAGCCATGTGACATTTTTCGTTTACAAGAGAATTAGAATAGAAGTCAGATCATTCACCAGCAATTACCAGTCGGCCAAAATAAATATCCCAACCTGCATACTCTCGACAAGCAGACTGATTGGTTTGCCCCAGTGAAGAAAGAGCCCACAACCAGCTGGGGGAGAGACCAAACATAAAAGCCACCGACCACAAATGGAAGAGCAAGGAAGTGGATCATGGAAGGAGACAGAAGCACCATGCCAAATTAACAGTGAGATCATGCAGCTCTGATCATTCTTCTGTGAATGATTATTTGACTGGTTGATTGATTGATTGACCGACCAATGGGGTAGATCTGAGCCCAGGGTGTTTCCAATGGGTGGGTGACAACGCGCTGGGCCCAAAGGCTTCTTTACCTGTGCAGGGCTGCTGGGGGTGCCACTAAAGGCCTCTGGACTACAGGTCTGCTCTGGGGTTGGTTTTAGATCCCCAGAGCTACACTTGCTAGCCTGTTGCTCCCTGTCCTGGTTAATTAGCGGCCTATAGGCTGGCATGGTCACGCCGGTGTACTCGGGGGCGTCAAGAACACCAAACACCTGTCAGGAACAAAGCAGGCATAAGTCATGGAGAAAAGGGGAGGAGCCCACACATGGGCTGCTGATGGACAGTAGAGCAGGCCAATCAGACGTTAGCATCCCCTCCCCCTGTGGAGTTGATGGCAAGCCCTTTCTTCACAGGACTTGTAGGGGAGTATTGCCCGATTGGTTCTTTGCAGTGACTGTCATCAGAGAGGCTATGGCAGACGACAAAAAGCCTCCCTGCTGTAGGAGGCGAGAGCCACGCAGCGTGAACTGGCAGACGATGCCAGCCAAAATGTTTACTGGGCCGTATAACTGAGAAGCAAGCTTACATCTGCTGATTTATCAGTGGAAAGCAGGTCTTCTGTGAAGAGAAGATGTCAGACAGCCTTGCCGTTCAGGTGCCAGTTTACCTTTACTTTCAGAAGCCTCTGTTTTTGTCTATTATGGGAGCTACATTACGTAGTAAATACTTAAACTGCTGAACCGCAGAATGAGATCTGAGCAGTTCCAAATCTTACAGGCAGGGGGCAGTGTCTCCACAGAGCAGGTCAGAGCACGTCGCAGCAAGCTTCAGAATGGGAGCCGAATCTTACTGTTAACATGCTTGAGTGTTTGTGTATGCCTCGCTCCCACTCGCACTGCGAGCAAGATTAAAAACGGTTAAACGCAGTGAAAGCCTTCTCGGTTCAGGTGACAGCAGCCCTAAATGGGCTGCTCTGCAGAGTTTTACGCCGACTTTATCTGGCAGTTAATACTCATAACACACCACTATAATTTTACACTTAATAAAACACACTGCAATGCCACACATAAGACAAATTAACACTGCATGCCACAGGTATCTTTGCCAAAAGGAGCAGACTGGAAGGGCTCCAATTGTGAAGAGAGCCATAGCGGTAGGTTCAGACACCAGGGACTTTGGACTGCAGCTGGACGAGGCCTGACTCAGAGGAATGTGTCTGGAAGGGGCTGGCGGTGATACATGTCATGTGACCTAACACCCGCCCACCCCTACTGCTGCTGTTAACAGTTGTTGCATTTTCCATCCCTTTTAAGCTAAGCCCTTTCCGGCTGCTTGTGCACTGCGGCTCAGAAGGAATCCGCTCCTCCCCTTTCAGTGACTCGCCGGAATTCCCAAGGCATAAGGCCGGGTCACCCACCTTCCTGGTTTGAGGGGGGTCAAGGTGTTTTGCCTGATGGTGTGCGGCAGCCTCAGCTCCAGCACGGGGGAGGGGCCTCATTTGCAAATTAGGCCGCATGAGAAGGTGGGGGGCGAAGGAACTGGAAGTGTTCAAATAGTAGGGGCACCAAGGACCAGAAGAGGGCGCTTGAAACAGGCTGAACTGAATATCTGGACTTGGAAAAGCCTCTTTAGCCAGCTTCATAAGACCCCATAAACAAAGCATTAGGAAGCACATCAGCTTCACAGCACCTGGCCTGTGTGCACTTCATAGTTACATAAGAGAACGTCAATATCTTGTCCCACGATGCCCTGTTTATGGGTGTCCCTGAACAATCATCTGACCTACAGCTATGAGATTATGTGCTGTGGCACCTGACTGTCTAAGTGCCTAAAACTACATTTCATTGTTTTGGATACAGCAAAATGAGGTTTTAAGATAAAAATCTATGCCCTTCCAAGGTGCACAATCCAGTCCACACAGGCCCTGCCTTCAGAGGAGGCACAAATATAATAGGCAATCTCCTTTGCTCAGTACTCGCGGTAGGTGTGCCCTCACCTGGTCGATCATGTTGCGTGCGTCCTCTACCTCCTTGTCCTGGGCGTCCGTCTCGATGGTGTAGGTACCGGCGTCACTTAGGCTGTCCTCCTCCTCATTCTTGATGGCCTGGGTGGTCCTCGAGATATCAGGACAGACACCCAGCTGGGCTGTGCGGGGCCTGGGGCTGTGGATGGGGGTGGCGGTCGGGGAGCAGTAGGCGGCCTGCCGGCGGGGGCTCGGTATGGGGGATGGGAACGTCTTCTGGGCAGGAGCGACCATCTGGCCCGACTCCCGCAGAACCTCGGCCGCAAAGTCTTGGGCCAGCTTGGACCTCCTCCCTACGCTGCCAAAAGGCCTGATGGTGAAGCTCGAGCCAGAAGGGGGGCTGCTGGTCCTGTCGTCCGTCTTCTCCCGCTTGAGAGAGACAGACCGTGGCAGGGCCCCCGCACCGGACACTTTCAGTGGCACGGTGATCTGCTGGGTAGGAGGGGCATGCCCCTGCGAGGGGGCAGGCCTTTCCCCAGTCTGGGTCCCAGCCTTGCGCTTCTCCAGCTTAGCCTTGATGGCAGAGTACATGTCAGGCTGGGCGGAGTTCTGGGTGAATGACTGCGAGCGCTTCTTTCGGGGAATATCATCGAAGAACTCTATGACGAAGGCCTGCTGGGGGTCAGGCCTGCTCTGGCCCTGTGGGGGTGGTGGGGAACGGGGCTCCGGAGACGAGGCTGCCTGCAAGCTGTCAGTGGGTGGTGGACTGGGGGGCTTCTGAACCGGCAGCGGGACGTGCTGGCGCAGGGGCAGCGGGCGAGACGGGAGGGGCTGCTGCAATTCGGCCCGCTTGTCTTTCAAGACGGGGCCCTCGGAGTCGCTCTGGGTGCCATCCTCGTGGTGGTGCCCTGCACAGAGATGGAGAATGATAAGATCACACAGAAGGAGGAGCATCGACCAGATGTGCTGTGACCGCAGAAATCTAACCTTTGAGGGTCTTGACCTGCATAGGGAGGTCACTCTTGGTGCTGTAGACGTCCTCGCAGGGCGCCTTCGATCTCATCATGCTAATGTCGCTGGTCACCAGCCAGTCGGCCACCTTGCTCTCAGCGGACATCACCTCAGTGGGCGTGGCCAACTCCCGCAACAGCGGCTTGCGCTGGCGGAAGGAGAACTTGGTGATGTGATCCTTGATCTTCATCTTGCAGTCGTCAAACTCGATGGTGAAGGAGGCGTGGCTCTGCACAGCAGGGGAAGTGGGGGCCGGCTTCGCTGGGCTGTCCGTGTCCTTGGTGGGGATCTCCTGGTCCTCACCCTCAGAGGGCTTGGAGTGAAGGATCTCTTTGGTGGGGATCTCAAAGTAGCTGGGCTCCCTCCGGTATGGGTAGACAGGCTTGGTGAGTGGATCCCTGTAGTCCAGGTGCGAGCCGTTGACCTCAAGTTCAGGTCTAGAGCTGACCTTGGAATGGTCTGTGGGTAGATGTCAAGGTGGAACATGATGGCATGCAAACACACACCCACCAGGAAAGCACAGCCAGATACTGTAAAAAACCTTGAACCACCAAAGCTAAACTTGGCATTCACATGCAAGGCACCCAACACCTTTCAATCAGACCAAAAAAATTCATTTCAGATTTGGGGACACAGTACCCTGACAACTCCATAAATCAGTATTTACCAATCCGGTCATTGGGGACCGACAGTCGGTCCATGTTTTTGCTCCCTCCGAGCTCCTTGCCAGACAGTACACATTTTTGCTCAGCTCTATGGGAGCTGAGTGGGAGCAAAAACGTGGACTGTCTGTGGGTCCTCGAGGACCGGATCGGGAAACACTGCCTTAAATTCTTGTGGTCCACGGGGTTATGTAGCACAAGTTTAGAAGGGGTGGTCTGAACACACAGAAACTTAAACACAGTGAGGAGGTGCCACACCCTGACACAATGCTCAGGGCCCTGGGGGGGGTGGGGCATCCTACGAGCCAATGAAATAGGCACAACCTATAAAAGGGGCAAGCCGAACGGCCACACTTCAAAGTGTTACCTTTAAACTGCCCCTGGGTGCCAAGTAGCTGCAGAAAAAACACAACGAGATTTTTAAACTTCTCACAGAAAAGTACGTGGCTGTGCTTTCCAGACCGTTGCTGCTGACCTTCTGTCAGTCTTTTGTTTAATTATTTAGCACTCATACACCAGTTCATACACACTGCATTATTGTAATTTGATCCTGGGTACCAGACTCCAATTTAAGACAGAAGAGAAAAACACACCTAGTCTAAATTCATTCATCAGATTATTTCTGAAATTGCCTTTTGAAATCTAAATGTCTCTTCAAGGCAACAAAGCCAGTCGTGTGAGCAATAATCATGGAGAAAATTACCCAGTGCAGCTTTGGCTAACACCAATACAGCCACAGGCCATAAGGCAGCAGTAGGTTCCGACAGCCCTATACTCCACGCCCAGGGTGTCGTTTTCAGAAACGCAGACTGCAAACGTGATCCGGTGCTGCTTTTTTAACTCGCTGCCCCAGGCCTGCTCCATACTATAGTGGCTTTTGCTCGTCTTCGATTAGCGTGGCCTTCAGCCATACAGCGGTGGACTCTAACCCCCAGCCTCTCTCACGCTCACCGCTCAGCTATGTCCTGGACACCGTGGTCCCGTCTCCTGAGCAGAGAACCATCAGAACTGCCAGCAGCCCTGCACTGGGTGCACAGCACCGTGACTAAAAGCTCCGTGGATTAGTGCTGGTTTCAAGGCCAGAATCTTAGTTCTGCCCGCATGAGGTCACATTCCACCCCCCACCTGCCATCTTGTAATTGACTCAGGTAACTTATTTGTGTTATTTAAACATTAGTAAGACAGGGTGTCAGAGCTCCGCCCAGCATGGGGGAGGAAGCAGGGAGTGCCCTGGGGCAGCGACTGACCTGCGTGGCTCCCGTTCGGCCGGCAACTCTCCCTCTTCTGGCCGTTTATGCCGACATCATCGTCGCCCCACCAAGAGGGCTGGCCGTAGAGAGGGGTGGGGCGCGGCTCTGGGGCCTCTGTGGGTACAGACACACACACACACACACACACACACACACAGAACACAGGTAAGGTTGCCAGACAAACTCCGCCCTACACAATCCGCTCACACACCACACTGCTCACATGCCCTAGATCAAACTGTGTGAAACAAAAGCCTGTTTGTAAAACTGCAGCCATGACAGTCACACTGTGTCAGACACAGATAAAGTCCATATCATTGTCTTTATCCAAATTTACCGGCAGACAGGCAGGGCTACAGAAAAGCGCCACGTCCACAATGACAAGAAGGTGTTCGTATGAAGGACGTTAGAGGGCAAATCAACTCCCTTAGAAAAGGTTTATAATCCTAGCAACAACCTGGTCACCATTCACACCCATAGAACCTTCCTATTGGCCGTCTCAACTGAGCAGGAGCAGGGTCCAAACATTACCAACCAATCAACCATCAGCCTCCCCCAGTAATGGCTCAGATCGTAAGTAAGGTTAACTGGTTCAATTACAGAGGGGAAGATCACCACGGGAGAGTGAGAAAAGGGGGAACCGGAACGTTGTGTAAAGATCCACGCTGCACAGCAGGGGATGAACAATCTGGTGCTTCACTGGGAAAAGGCAGATCTCAGATCAGCGCACAGACGCTGGAGCAGGATATAAGGCACTCCTGAGGCTAGGAGACTGGGGCTGTTAGGGAATCATATATCAAAAGGGGGGGGGATGCGTGGGACAGTGAGGGGGCAGATGCCAGTGATAACAGGTGGGGGCGGAGGGGGGGGGGACGGACAAGCTGCAGGTGGAGCAAGCTGCCTGTGTCCCCGCCCCTTCAGCTTTAAGGTCACACCCTGCTTCAAGGAGCTACACACCCTGTTGGCAGTAGCTCTCCACAGGGACATGGGGGGGGGTCAATTAGACCCTGGAAAGGTGGTCAGACTGCTGTCAAATGCTCATCCCAGCTCACATGAGACCCAAAGAAACCAGGACATCAGCATTGAGGGCTGCCACTGCTACAGCAATGAGACGGACAGCAGCACCCAGAGAGACGGGGCTGGGAGGACTGGAGCGTCACTGGTTATGTCAGCAGTGTCAGGAAGATGAGCTAATGCAGACTTCACTAAACGGGAAGGGAGGGAAGGGGGGGGTGGTTGAGGGAGGGGGGGGAATAATGTGTGCCAATAAACAGTGAAAGGTTTCCTCTCCTGACAAAGACCTCCAGCATAAACCCTGAGTTTACGCTGCCTCATGGTCACTAATGGAAGCACTGCTTCACTAACACTAACGTGCAAGGATACGCAGCTTCATGCTGCATCCGCTGCTGTTTAAAACTCAGTTTCCTGGCTTTTGTCGCAGAGGAAGCATCAAGCGAGAGACAGTGAGGCACGCCCCCCCCAGGGCCCCACACAGCTCTGTGACCTGCTTTCTTGCTGGATTGACCCCATCTGGATTGCGGGCAGACACAGATTCCCAGCAAGTTCTGCAGTGGTTAGGGAGCTTCGACAAAGGTGCGGGATAAGCAGGTGAAGCGCGACAGCTTAGAGCTGGGGCTGAACACGCACGACCCCCCCCGAGACGTGCACACATTGCGACCCGTCTCCCGGGCGACCGGCTCCGGCATGCGGGATAATCCGCGGCAGGTTTGAGTGGACAAGGATTAGCCCCGTTAAAAGGATTCAGAGGGACATAACAGAGCAGAGCCCGGATCATACCAGAGAAAAATTACTTTATGTTCTGATGGTCCGCTGTACCAGATGCATAAACGCAGCAGGTACAAGCGAGGCTGCACATCCCAATCCTGCAGCGAGCTCTCGAACCCGCATCCAGGGCGAGGTAATGCTGTTACTGCAGCTCAGAGCTGAAACGTTCGTCCAAAATAATTGCTGCATCAAACGGGTAGAAACCCACAGCAAGGGGCGTTCAGGTCCCTCCATCTTTCTATGTACGGCTGCTCCGTTAAGGGAGGGATGCGCATTTCCTGGGGTGGGGGTGTTCAGGGCGTAGTTTCACATTTCCACAGCCCCCCCTCCGCTCCCTCAAATACCAGCCTGACAGAGTCTCCTTTCACACCAGGCGCTCCACCTCATCAACTCCACCCCGCAGACCCAACTCCACCCTGCAGGGAGCGAGGGGGGGCGGGTCATTCGGTGCCAGATGGGCAGGAACTGAGGAGGGGAAACAAACCCCCTCCCCCCCACCCCAGGAGATGGGCGGGGCTTGGGACAGCAGTGAGTTTAACTGGAGGATAAAAGGTTCATTAATGTGAACCACAGCAGGGCCCCGGGTTCAAGCCGCAGGCCCCCCTTACCCGGCACGGCCTTGCGCTCCACCTTCTCTGTTCTGGAGCGTGACGGGTCGGCCAGGCCCCCCTTCTCCCGCCTCCTCCCTTCCTGTACCTTCAGACTCATCTGCAGCTGGCTGGTGTACTTCTCATGCTGGAATGACAACGAGGGCGGGGTCAGCAGCTGGTGAACCCCCCACCCACTCCATGAAAGTCCACAACTGAAAATGAGGTGATACTCACAGAGACGACCGCAGAGGTGCACGCACACAATCGCAAGGACAGAGTGTGAAACCAAAACACTAAGGTGAAGGTTGAGGGGGGGGAGGGGGGCACCAACCTTGAGGGCTTCCTCTGGAACTTTGTGCTGACTCCGTTCCAAAACGTAGACGTGAGAATGTGAGGGGCTCATTAAGGGCCAGATAAACAAGTCAGCTAATGAATCTGCTGCGGACATATGCTGGCTCACTGTGACTGACATTTGGAAAAGCGTCTGTCCGACCCGAGGATCGCTGAGGGCGCAGAAAGCACCATCCTCCCTTTCTGGGTGCAGAACCCCCCAAGGGGGACCCCACACACTGCCCGGCCCGGCCGGGAAAGCTCATCAGATTTCCCGGGACCTCCATCAGCGTATGTGACAGAGTAGCTGTTTGTCAGAAACCTCAGCCAACCGTCAGCCTGTCAAGGTCAAAGGCTGGATGAGCAGCACAAAGAGCTTAACATCTGGAACGAGGTCTCCCAAAGGAGATGAGCGTGACCTTGGGCCGGCTGCCGACTCGGCTGCACGGAGGTCATTCTCATACTGCCCTGACCCCAGACTGTCCCGTCCCCGCGCTCCGATACTCTGTGGGTCCCTCAATCTATCGACAAAACAGAGACCGCAAAACATTAACTAAAGGGTCAGGCTGCAGCCAAGGGTAAAACATACAAATACTGCACACAGCAACAATGTTTCTATAGAAGAAAGTGATTTTTTCCAGAAAATTCTCCTCACAGACAAACCTGCCTCGTTCCCACCACCACATCAGTGCACCACTGCACCGATCGAATAAGATATGAAGGATATCATAACCGAAGCGGACGACATCAGACAGCTTCAGGGTGATGTAGGTCTGGTCAGGGATGCGGACATCATTCACAAATGTCTGGCGGGGAAGAAGAGCAAACACAATGAAGCAGCGTTTCCCAATCCGGCCCTCGGGGACCCGCAGACAGTCCACGTTTTTGTTCCCTCCCAGCTCCCGAACAGAAAGGTGGACCGTCTTGCAGGGAGCTGGGAGGAAGCAAAAACATGGACTGACTGTGGACCCCCGAGGACCGGATTGGAAAACACTGCACCAAAGGCTTCTGACAAATTCCAAAGACAAAAAAAAATACAGGCGCAGTTCACCTAAATTGTTTTAAAAAAAATGTCATGCTACGTGCTAATACTGCTTGTAGGGACAGCGTGACCTACCCAGTCTCAGGCTCAGGTAGTGAATGCTAATGAGGGGTGTTACCATGTGACTGAGGCTTAATAAATGTTATGGGAAGATGGCACAGGCCAGCTGGCCCACAGACAGGGGCCTGGCATAGACTGGTGCAGGAACCACTACTGGATAGACACACTGCAGGCCAATATACATTATGTTAAGTCATCAGAATAATTTTAACTGAATAAATGAAACTTTAAATTTTATGTCTGAGCTCTGAGACCTGCAGCACTGATCTGACAGTTTGCCGCTCCCTTCCACTGATCCCAGCATGATACTAAACACCACACCAGAGAAACCAGTCCCACACAATGCAAACATCGTATCCTGGGACCTAGCAGCTTTGGAACAAAGACCCCCCTGAAAGGTAAGGTGTGTACCCCTACCTGTCCCATGCTGTCAACCCCCCCAGCTCTTGGCAGGAGGGCTTATCAGTGGGGTCACGGGGGCTTAAAGGTCGGATTTCTCAACTCACCCCGTTGAGGCTCCCCAGGTCCTTCACCAGGTGCTCGTCCGTGGAGGGGTCGTAGTTGACGACGGCGTGCTGCTTGTCCACGCTGCGGGACTGGGGCAGAGGAGAGGAGAAGCATGTGAGATACGCGGCCCCCACTGGGAAGGTGCGCTCAGAGTTATACATAGTGCAGACAGAGGTGTGGAAATGGGACGGGTCCACCGAGGCAGCCTCCTGCGCTAAACGCTAAAGAAGCTGAAAGTGCAGCGTAAAAGCGCCAATGCTACGTCGCTAACGTAGCTTTTAACGCTTAACCTTGCTGGTTATGAGGCTCCCTAGACAGGCTCAGTATCACACCAACCAGCCCAGGGGCCACGGTGTCTCAGGACACCCCCAAGGACAGCGTGGTGGGGTGAGGGAGAGCAAATGCATTCCTGCAGGCTGATGACCCATGACAGGGGGGGGGGGGTTGATTCACTGCTCAGGCAAGCGGTCAGACCATAAACCCAGCGATTGTTTCCGCTTCATGGGCCCACAATGCCGCAACACGAAAAGTCACCCTCTAAATCGATTTTCTCCCGCTTAGCCAGAGTTTAACGAGGCCCGGGCTCATTAAGACCCCATCCCACTGCCCGCTGAGGCCCAGACCCACCCGCTTCCATCAGCTCCCCTGTATTCCCTCATATTCCCAGGAACCCAGAAGAGCCCCACCTGGAGCTCCGGTTCCTCCCTCGGCGTCACCAACAACAAAGAGTGACAAAATAAACAGGACATCCTGGGATAAAGGACCCACACACTCAAACGCGCCGTAGATAAACCATGCTCCCAAATCGACGACTCACTCCCCCCACCATCCTGACAAAAAAAAAGCTCGAGACAAACCCTGTTACTCTGTTACCTCGTTAGCCACTTCAGACCCCCCCCACATTAAAGGGAGGGAGCCCCCCCCATGCCTCCATGCACTCCTCCCAGCCATTCATCCATCATACGCTTCGTTGTTCTCTGACTCGCTTGGGCCCTTTGTCTGAGTCCTGCTAATGAGTTCCGGATTTACATCATCACCCTTCCCAACATCATCCAGTGACATATCCTCAGGTGAACCCCACCCCCCCACCCCCACCAGCAGCCAGGCTGACTGGGGCTCACAAGCACTTGTGCGAGCACTAACAGGCCACGCTAATTACTGATGGGTGCGGTACGGGCTACACGCCGGCTCCGGAGCCAATCACGGTGGGCCGCTATGAGCGGGAAGCTGCTACCAACACAGCGGGGAGAAGGGGGGGGGGATGGGTGGGGCAGAGGAGGACCCAAACGGAAAAGGGGGCTAAACAAAAACACGAAAGGCAGCAACAGCGGAGGAGTGGAAAGTGTCCGCTGTGAGAGAAGGGCGAGGCTGAGGTTTGGCCAGAGCCAGCAGATCTGAATGGGGGTAGGGGTGGGGGGATGAGTGGCAAGTGGCAGCACTTCAGTGCGGGGGGGCCGGGATCTGGGCCAACAGCAGCCTGACAAGACGACTTAAACAGCCCTGTGCATGGAGGAAACGGCCCAGGAAAGAGAAACAGAGGCTGAAGTCTTTCTGTAATCACTGTAGGGGCAGAATCCAGCAGCAAAACTGCCCCCCCCCCCACCACTCTGGATGCCATCAGGCTCAGGCAGTAATGGCAAGATGGAGGCCTGCACTTTAAACAAATTAACATCACATGGTTTCTTATCCCTTCGGTCCCACGAAGTACGGAAAGAGGACATGAACCAAAATGTTTCGATTTCCTACGGCCTCTAGCAGGCCACTTAGGAATGCAGAGAACCTTCACAAAAACCCAGCCCCCGCACCCCATCCCCTGTGACTCAGCGCTAACACATGTAGCAGAGAGGACACTATCATTAAACCATCCCGCTGAACTCCAAACAGACCTACCCCTCCTTTACAGCTGTCGGCCGCTTCTTAACGATTTAATCAGGCCTCACCTACTTTAACCTTAGCATGTCAACTTGATGATGCTGCGGAATCAGAACGCAGCTCTGCTTCAAAACCAAAACTACGTTCCCAGGATCCAGATTAATCACACCACGTACGTGGTCATTATCCACTAATTAAGTCTGACGTAAAGCTTGACGTAAAACCGTTATGCTAAACAAACGATGGGAGTTTCTCAATACCAAGAACACAAAGATCTTACTTGTGGTCTCGACAAAAGCATTTTTCCCAACTACTAACTTTTCAACACGGGCAATTCACAAATAGATGTTCACGAATTCACAAGTAGATGTTCAGCAAAAACGTTACGCTAATTGTGGCTGAGATTTTGTTAGGGCTAATCTTACACCGTCGGGCAAATTACACCAACACTAAAGCATAGCTAATAAAACCGTCGGCTATGTTACACTGTACTTGAGTATGTTGCTGAAAACACATCCAACATACTAACCCATTTCACACGACCATCTAAGCGTGTTAACGACCGGGGCAGGCAGAAACAGTCTCTGTGCCATTTCAACAAATTCAGTTACAGACCATACTGGGTAGAAGAAAACATGGGATTTAGTTTATTATGACTGTTTAAATGCCATATGATATTTTCAATTTTAAAATGTTATTTTTCTTTACAATCTGCAACTAAGTGTCTCTTGTCACACATCGCCTTTGGTTTACAACTTCTTGTAATTGCGTTTGCGGTTTTAATAATAATCTCAGAACAAATTCTGTTTTCCCTGCTGTACCAAAAGTGAACCCAAAACTGTGAATTTTGTGTACCGTTACACCCCTAATACTTAACAGGAAAAAAAATACGAAAATTTGCTGTTTAATTTACACTGCCACTTCCATTTCTCGTTGTCTGTGCAAGGAAAACAGTACAAGGACAATTCTTTATTTGTTTATTTATTTTTGTTCCAGAGTGATTAAAACACTGCGGCACACTGGCTTGTACTCAAGTTGGCCCCGGAAACAGTGCTGTCGCGCGACTCAAACGTCATGACTTAAGCAGATAAGTGTGGCCTTAGGACAGCAGCCTGGGCCCAAGAGCCCACCAGACAAGCTCTCCAACGCAACGTAACATCTAACACAAGCTGGCACTCTGCTTTGACAGCTCTGCATGCTACGGGAGTGAAGGCCGTGCTTCATGTTACTGGGGGCGTGGCCTGTGAGATGAGGGCGGGGCCTGCGGTGTGGAGATGTGACCAGTAAGATGGGAATGCTGGAAAACACGGAGCGCCCCTGTAATCTCGGCTACGTCAGGATGCATGTGGGAGTGGCTAGAATATTTGGGGAGGAGCCTGCGGCTCCTGGAGGGCGGGGTCACCCACCTGCAGCATCAGTTCGCAGTCCTCTCGTCCCACAAAGATCATCTCCCTCGGCAGCCGGTGGCGCGTGCCGGAGCTGCTCACCAGGAACCATGATGTCACGCTCATCTTGGCGGCCTCACTCAGAGGTCTGCTGGCATCCTACGGGGGTGGGAGGATAAATCCTAAGATCACCCTCAGCAGACACATTCCACGACTGACGTTACAAACATCACAATCCTCGGGCCCTCGTAAGCATCAGCTGCAATCTATACTGACTCTGAGAACCCAGAATCCCCTGCAGGCTGATATGACCGGCTAGAGTGAAAATAAAATGGGAGGTTGGGGTGGGGCGGGATAGACCCAAAGCAGGCCCTGACCTGCACGCGGACGGCACTTCAAACTCACACCCATCGCTGATCGTAAACATGCCTGACGGAACAGAGCTGCATCACCAAGGAAACATCGTGGTGTCACAGTTGTGGGATGCCTGCTGTTTTATTCAAACAAAAACTGTATTAAAAAAAGCAGCCTTATAGAGCTATGAAATAACGCCTGCAGGTCTAACAGCAGTTACCTCAGCCAGGCCTCCAGCCTGAATCCTTAACAAAACGCACAAGAGATCTACCAAAGAGACGCCTGACTGGTGTGCAGAGCCAAAGAGCACGAGTCACAGGCTCCAGGGAACGAATGACACGCTTTCCTCCTCTCTCCTGAGGTATGACATCATCCTGAAAACGGATGCGAACAAAACCTGAGTCGAGAGCAAACCAGCGTGTACACCAATACAGCTCAGATGTTTGTGGACTATAACTGTTGTGTTTGTGGTCATATGATGTGTCCTTAACCTCAACTTTGTATCTCGGTACCAAGTCCCGCAGCGCTGGGATGCTATCGATCTAGCTGTGTGTCTAACACATTCCCACATGAACAAATCTCATCCATGCTCAAAATCCATTTTTTTTTGCCACAGACCCGACCATACTCACTCCTTAATCCTGCCGTTTCTCTAAAAGACGTTATCAAACTGACCCTGGGTCAGATCTCATCACATGGGCGCCAGCTACAGACTCCAGAATTTGAATATTGATTTGCATTGATGCGCCGCTCAGGGAGCCCGTGTGGAATCCTGAAGATGAACATACCAAAAAATGAGAGAGAGAGAGAGAGAGAGAGAGAGAGAGAGACACTGCCATCTCACAGACAAAATGTTTCGTCTGCCAGAGGTGAAGCAAACATGTTTCCAGTCAGTCAGTCTGTCCAGGCCAACACAGATTTTTACAACTGGATATCCTGGACTGGTAAAAAAAAAAAAAAAAGTATCACACAGGTCTCAGCCCTGACAAATCAAAAAACGAGGCAGAAGAGAACAAATCAGACAGTTACCACACGTAGCAATAGGTTCCGGTCCAGAATGTACAAATCTAGACCAAGATTATCGTGGTCTGGATTTTTACTTGCTGTCCCTGAACTATCCACCTCTGCACATAGACCACTCCACTGCAGGGCTCAGATACACCAATAGAAGCTCCATGCTCTTCTCTGTGCCCCTTCCCAGGTCCCTTTGCTGCCACACGACAGTGGAATACCCCTCCCACCTCCACCTAATTATAGTGCTGTTAGAAAAGGCGAAGCCCACATCTTCCTGTGCACTGCAAAGGGTGACCATTAAACAATGTCAACACAAGAACATGTAGGATCAGGGAGTCACTGCAGGCGGCTGATATCTGCCTGACATTCCCCACTGGATCTGGAGGATGGAGATTCAGCACACACCTCCCAGTATCTCCCCAACAAGCAAGGATAGAACTACCACATGCACCGACCAGTTCTCGTTAGCAATGACACTGCATCTGGGTGGCAAACACATGGGGTGTTTTCCCAGAGAGGCCCGCCCAAGGCGGACATTAACCCAGGTACCCCTTGCTTGGACCTAGGGTATTGACCGGATTCACTTGATGACATCACAAGCAGCCATAGGCTGACCGCCCTCCAGCAGCTACAAGTCAGGGTCGGGATGCTGAGTTTAACGAGCAGCTACACAGCTGGCGACAAACAGCTCGCATCCTCAAGCAGGAATTGTGAGTACTGATGAAGATCTCATAAGTGGCAACTACACATACTACACTACTTACGATGGCCCACTTCTTCATGCATCCAATTACTTATTTACACTGTGTGTATTTATTGCATTATCACAACTTATTAGAGTATTCTCGAGTACAGTCTGTCTTGTATGTCTGCAGCATTGAGGTCCTGGAGGAACGTTGATACATTGACATCCAGGTTCTCTGCATGTTTGCTTATGGGGGGGGTGGGATTATCTGGCTGAAAGGCCCATCTTCCTCTAACACTATTTTCTTTCCCAGGGAGATCCATCACCTCTCTGGTGTCCACATAATATCTGCATCTACACAAAGGCGGTCCGGCCTGGCGGGGGTCTGATCAAGCAGCAAATCGATGGACTGACATCTTAACCACGGCTTACCAAAACTCAGAATTATAAATAATTACTGGCAGTGGTAACACCATGCACAAATAATACATCCCTTAACGCAGTTGTAGTAAAGTATTGGTTTTCAGCGTCTATAATAATGTTGGCGGCCCTACTAATGACAACAACGATGCCATTATTCCTGTACATGGACATATAAATGCACATTCTTGAAAATCACAAGCAAACCGAAGGTCGGCTTTACCACATCGTAAAATTATCCATATATAATGTACTAACGCCGTTTCACAGACAGCCCTCGTACGTATAACGCAGGTTTATCCCAGACGCCGCCGATCAAACAAGGCAGCCTACAACCGGCCTGCCTGATAACCAGTCATCCTGCTGCTTGGATAATATTACCATATTTAATAAATGACTAATTAACACGGCGGCTCCAGGAAAACTACACCCCCCACCGCCAGATCCTCCACCTAAAACGAGGCGAACCGTCCTCGTTTTATTGCGACTTTCAGCAGAATAGCCAGCAATCCTAAGTCAAATGATATTTTTTCCCGAAGATATACAAATGTAACGTCTGAATGGCTCCTATACAGCCACCTCGACGCGGTTCTGCTCGCACCGCTACCCACATACATTAGGTATCAAGCCACATACCTGTTCCTGCAAAAGCCAGACACCGTTCAGGAAATCAACAGCGTATTTTACTCTTATTTTCTGATTTATCCCCCAATAATCCTGGACGATTCTTAGTCCCACGGTCCTGTCTATACTCCAGATCCACCGATGCCACCATTAACACCGGGCCAGGGGAAGCGCCGTCCCTCTCCGTTGCTGAATTAGATCCGCTTTTAAACTAAATCTAATTATAATAATTAAAAATGCAGAAACAGGGCAAGGAAATCGCCTTGGCGTGACACACGCCCTGTGCTCCGCACGCCGTTCACCGCCGGAGCATTTTTGCTGGGATTGTCAGTAGCAAAGAGCGGCGCCGCCTCCAGCAGCCTTTCCAGGTTAGTGACGCACCCGACGCCCAGCACCGGGCTCCCTCCCTCAGACGACCCGGCCTGTGCGATCGGCACCTGCCTGCACTGTAGCAGGAAAAAAACGAAGTCGAGCCTCTTATACTCCCCCAATTACATACTTTCAACTAGAAAAGCCCCAGATTATTTAGATTGGAAGCTACTGGAAATTATGGGTGCTTTTAATCCTCGCTTAACTGCACTACGGTTTGGTTTGTTTCCCATCACATTAAAATGCAATGCTCTTTAACATGTGCTCTTTTTTGCGCACCAAACGATTGCTGACACGTCCGTAACAAAGGAATCGGTTTTCCCATACAAAGCATGCGCACGCCCCCTTGTGGAAGGGCAGCATAAGGCAGGTTCACTTTTCCGGGAGGACTCATTTTTATTTATTTACTTGATTATTTTTAATCCAGTCCATTCCTGAAATATCAGAGGGATTAGGAAATCAGTTAATGTTACCCAACTCATGTAGAATTTACATTAGAGAAACTTATGGATTTTGTCCTAATGAACTTTCATATAAAACCAAATATCGTCGTACATTGAATGTCAGGGTTGCAGGATTTGGGGTACAAGTAACAGAATAATTTCATCTAAAATGCTGTATTAGTTGTATTTTTTCTATTGGGTTAATGTTTACGTCAAGAAAATGCTTCATAAGCTGTAACCATACAGACTTGTGTATGAATTTTGTCTAAATCAAATAAAAAAAATCAGCCTGGTGAACCAGAAAACCAGATGCATGCATTTTGCAAGAATTACTGTCAACTGTCCAGAAAATTCTACAACTGCGATGTGTTTCAGCAAGGCAGACTGGAAACATTCAGAGCAGATAGTCTACATATTTGTTAAATTTAAATAAACCCCAAAATCCTACAGTGAAATGAAATTATACAGTTTCACATCAGCTCACTCAGTAATTCCTCTCCCAGGTTGTGCTTCCCCAGTTTGTGTCGAGCATCACTGGATCTAACATTGGGGTGGGGTCATATACCAAAAGGTACTTTCTTTCCCTGCTCACGTGTGACATCGCGTGGTTAATAGGGTCGATCTCGTTGCTATCGCCGTACACCTACCAACCAGGCCATGGTTACTTTCCGCAGGCCAGCTCAGACTTGCCTCCAGTACCACCCAGACTGGTTTGAAATACAATACGCAGCTGTTGGTTAGAAATATACCGTGCAGATTTTATTACACTAGTAATATTATTGTAAATAATATTCTTATTTACAATGTTTATGTCTTTATTTTTTTGTTTGCTAAAATTCATTTAATAATAAAAGCTTACGTGCTCCGTCTTCAATGATGTATCGCATTATTTCTGCATTTGTAGTCGCATTTGCTGCGTTTTTTCCTAATGCCTATTTTATGTGCAAAGCTTAGTTGTTTAAATGTTTTTCAGCTACAGTCAGCTGCTGAAAATAGGCTACGATTCTTCAGGAATCACTCCTCATGAAACACATTTAGTACAGCGATTCTTAACCCGTGGGCCACGACCCAAATTTGGGTTGGCAAGTTCTGAAATGGTCGCGAGGCAGAGTTGTAAATGTAAGCATTGCAAAACCAGCGAGCTCCCATTTGATCCACGATCAGATTTCCCAGCCCCAGTCCTAGAATTAACCTGTATAAACGGGTCTTGCGTCTGCAACTGCTTAGTACAAAACTAGTGAACATGCAACCGATCCAAGAAACCAAACCACAGATGCTCAATTTAAAATTCGCTGGATCATCTAATCAGATTTGTGCGATAGGCAGGATAGCATTGGCGTGAATTTCGCAATCTACTTCGCGTTGATCATAGCGTTAAGTTACATCTATAATTGAGAATCACGACTGAGCTGGCATGGTACAAAGTGGGTCGCGATGCAAAAAAAGGTTGAGAACTACTGATTTAGTGCATGCCTTTCTAGGAAAACAAAGCGAAGAAGCAAAATTCAGTATCTGGAAAATGTAAACATTCATAGTTAGTTATTGCATGTGGATAGGGGGGTTGTAACCCTCCCCAATAATCAAAACCAGCCAATACAACCCCCTGGACCCCCTGGATGGAGACCTCAATCCCCCCAATGCTCAAGCCAAAGTTATGTCCTTGGCTTATTGTAATAGGCACCGCTAATCGACCATTTGTCCTTCGTCATGAAAAAAGCCAATATGTCAGAGTTATTTACAAATCAGTTCGTTTATTGTATTATTATGTTTGTAGTCACTCATGACGTTGTATAGCTGCGTCATTTCTAAAGTCAAAGACTGGAGGGAGAAAAGAAAGGCCCCGTTTATGTTCATCTCACTTCGGTGTCTAAAGACAAACGTTGAGAAAGTTATTCTGACGGAGAATATGCGTTTTGCGTGCACTGTACAATGCATATATTATCCAGAAGGTGGCGACATAAACCTTATTATCCAAACCATGTCCCGAAAGCTGATTTTACTCCATTTTGTCCACTGGAGGGCAATGTTTTTCTTTTCTATATTTTAAAATTTTATTTTTATTTGATTTTATTTGAGTTTGTTTGATACTTACCCAGCTCCGCAAGTCATAGATCTACTTCAAGTAATTTACCGACGCTCAAGGTGGGATAATATCATCATCTAACAGAGCATTTTATTGTGTTTTTTTGTAAAGTTGTAATGAAATTTGCATTTCAGACATACCCATATTCTTCTGAGAAAGGAATTGTCGTAATATAATATCACAATGCACCTCAGAATGGAAAAATATTCTTCACATCATTCTATGACTGAAATTAATTTGTGGACATGGATTTTAAAACAAAATATTTAACGCAACTTTAAGTGTTCCAGAAATTAGCTACATTTCCAAAAGGAAAATTGTACTTCGATATATAGTATTATTATAGAACATACAATATTAGCGGCAAGTATTAGAATGTAATAATGGATCATAATGGAGACCCAGGTCAGACCATTGTTCTGGATTCTCACAAGCCACGTGACAGAGCCATGCTCCAAAGTCACGTCTCACTGAGGATTATACTGGCCAGGGCACATTTCACAAGCACATTCCTCCACTCCAAGCAAAGTGGACGGAGCACCGGACTCGGCAGAGAAGAACCTGCTTACTGCTGCATTCCACGTTACTGTGCGAAATCGTGCTGAATTTTCACTTTAAAAAAATCCTTTAAGGGGACAAAATAATCCTTGGGAACAAAAACATACAGAAGTGGGGAGGGAAATAGATTGAGATACAGTCCCATTTACACAGGATGCCCCCCCCCAGAGCCGATTGTTCTGTAAGGTAAGCTCAAACCAAGAATCACAGGCTTTGGTGAAACAGGCCCTACAGCTACAGCCAGATGTTTCATTCAATTTCCTCTTTCAGTCGTTCCCAAATTCCAGTTTTCCTCTCCAATTCAAAGTCCCTCTCTTCTGTTCCACAGTGATTGGGGGGGGAATGCAGGGTTGCTGCTGGCCAACACCCTATCAGGATTACCTCTCGCACAATGGACCACGCTGAGGTCATGACCTTCACTCCAGGCCGCCACCAAGCCCCCCTCCTCAATTAAAGGACCTTTAGAAAAAAGACTCATCCTGGTCAATTATCACTGTGGATTCCTTCAGCTCCTCGCAGCCTCCCGGCAAATCCTCACAATTCAGCCTGTTGAGTGGTATGGTGCCTTCCTCCCCAGAACGAGCTATTGGCGACTGTCTTTCAGGCATTGGGTTCGGGGGGGGGGGGGCACTACATCCTCTCCCCTGAACCGTCTCCCAGAGCCCACCTCTTCTTTCCTCTGAATCTATAAGAAGTCACCCTCATCCAGAAGGCACACCATGGGGCACTGTGTGGCTCCACAGGTCAATGCCTGCGATCAGAAGGTTGTCGGTTCGAATCCCATCTTCGGCAGCATAGTCACATGGTCGATGGGCCATTGAGCAAGGGCATAATATATGAAATAATATAATATATGAAAAGAAACATACCAATGTATTTGTGCAAATGGCAAAAAAAGCATCATTTCACATTGTCAGAGATTGGATTATGGTGGCCTTGGACCCTCAGGCCACAGAGACATTCTTTTTGTGGTTAGTAAGAGGACACACAGGTAAGGGGACCGTCACCATACCAAACGTCACAGTTACCATAAGACACCAAGAGGGTTTGGGACACTGGCATTTACCTACCTTTTTTGCAGTGGCCAAACCGAAGAACATGAGCGGAAACACAGAGCTGAAATTACAGGACCACGCTGGTGCACAGCGAGGCACACGGCCCGGGGGCTGCAATTAATTCACCCCACAGCACGAAACGTTTAACACGGGACCTGGAGCCTCAAGGAGAGAACCTCTCGTCCTTCAGATGGTATTCAAGCAGCACGCCGTGCAGACATGAAGTTTGACAGAGGGCTACTGCAGCGATTATCAGCTCCCGCTGCTCAGTCACATGACGTGTCACATGTCACCCGGGTGACGAGTCCCCAGCTGGTACCAGCTGTAATCGCTCTCCTGTGCTCGTGTTGTAACAGTCAACGCCCACCTGCCCCCACCGCTTGCGGTGTCCCCAGCAGGTCCTGTGGGACGGCTAATCAGCCTCAGATCAAACTGACTGTTCTCTCGTTGACCGTTTAGGGCAGTGGTTCAGGAAAGACGTTCCCAGAAACCTGAAAGATGGTTATTCCAGATCAGATAAGATCAGTTTATTTGCTGAGCTCTCAACAGGTGCTAAGCTGATGTTTATCAGGTTTTTTTTTTTTTTTTTGGGGGGGGGGGGGGGCTCCCACCATCTATATATTCACCCCTGTGTTTTAAGCTGTGTGGCCAGCTTTGCTGCCCAAGCTTACATTGGCCTCAAACCTCTTTTTTTAGGAGTCCGATGTTTTTTTTTTTTTTTTACAGCTGTCATCCGAGAGATGCCCCCCCTTCTGCCCCCCGGGGCTCCGCATACAAGCGCAGTGCCGTACCCATATGCAGAAGCGCTTAAAACATGGCCAGCAAAATTGCTGACGCAGAGAGGTGCACTGTGGGTAGCGCAGCTGGGGCACGTTGCCCGGGAAACTGTCTGGCAAGCTGCCGCCCATACCCCCCCCCCCCAGCCGCCAGCCCCGCCCCCTCTGCGGCAGTGGCAGCGGTAGGTGAGGCCCTTGCTGGGCTCTACCCTGCCCGTGCTTGTAACTCCGGGCCTTACCTGCTCTGCAGCTGGCTCTGTCACTCTGCCACCCCACTCTGCCAACATCTGCTCCCGGAACGGCGCCATCTGTGCCCGGCTCTGGGGAAACACCTCCTCCGGCACCGACCGGCTGCGGCAGCGCCGGGGGAAACCGGGCCCGACCAAACTCGCCCGGTTGGTGTCTAACAGAAGCACTACATTACCCGTGGAGGGGAGCCAGACTACTGACTGTATTTATACAAAACAGACGAGATTTCTCTCTTCTGACACATGCCTAGTCAAAAAAAAAAAAGCCTGACAAATGACACTCTGGGAAGCTGACGACTCAACGGTGGCGTTTTAATGCCATTAGTCAGTAAACGCTCTCATTAAGGGCCAGTCACATCAAGGGTCGGTCACTACAATACCCACAATGCCCGCTTTTCAAGCGAGGCAGCAAACGCGTATTTTAAAGTCAAATCATGGACGCGGAGTACACCGACCGGGGCGACTCCAGGAAACGAGCACAAAAGTGACTGTCAGGGAGAGAGGCTGTCTAGCGAGTCCATAATGATCCACCGAGCACTTCCTGAGTTAACAAGCTGTGGAGCTCCTGCAGCGTTGCTAGGTGACCATCCAAATCTTGGCTTTTTGTCAAAAGACCCAATGGAGGAAGAGAGGGTGTGTGGGGGGGGGGGGGGGGCGGGACGAGATGGGTCTAGGTGGGTGGCACCGAGCGGCAGTCTGAAAAGCCTCCATCGAACTCAAAGCTCCGCCTGACCACTGACGTTTCAGGAGTTGGATGGTGCAGCAGTTCTGGTAGCAGTTATGGTGAACCGGTGAGGTATTTTTGGCTCTTGTCAGCAAGAAGCTGATGTTTCACCAAACAAACAGCAGCAGCAGACATGCTGAATCATACTGGAAGGTCGCACATGCACGAAAAAATACAGAGAGCCCACGTCACGCAGGAGCAGAAATGAATAAATAAAGTTAGCTTAAGAGTCACAATACCCGGTTTGGATGCGTGAACAACCCCGAGGCCTTAACATCCGGCTCTGGTTCAAGGTGCTTTCAAGAACAAGTTGACAGCAAAGCACAAGGCATCCCCTCCTCCCAAAGAGGTGGGGAGAGAACAGTTGGGGGCTTCCCCCACAGGAAGTGCCACATCCATTACCCAGAATTCCAAAAAGTAGCAGATAGCATTCAATATTAAAGAGAGCAACAAGTAGCATGACCCTTAAGGAGACAGGGTGACCAGAAGGCTTTGGGTTCAAGCACCTTTGGCCAACATCCTTGAAATGCAGTTTTTCAGCCAAAATATAGCTAGGTTACTTCCGATAAGTACAAGGTGAACAGCTAAAATGATGAACAACAGACTCTTATCTCTGTGAGCCGGGCCCTGCACTGATCTCCATTTTAGCTCCAGGAACACCTAAAGGCCTTTTGTCACACCTGCAGGCTGACCGCTAGGCAGTAGGTAGCTACTGAGAGGCACCACAGATGGCCGACCAGCTGCAGGACAGAAGAGGCCAGGTCGCGAATGAAGAGGCGCGACTCAGCCTTTGTCGGAGAGCTTCTCCTCGCTCTCGCCCAGCACGGCGCCCAGGGGCCACGGTGCGAGTGACAAGCTTTGAGGACGGCCCTTGCATCCGGCCCATCAACACGCCGCAGTCAGCTGCCCCCACAGCGGGGGGGGGGGGCTCCATGCCGGATATAGGAGCGATATATAGGGATATGCGAGAAAAGCCACTGTAAGAGATTTAAGACGAAGGCTAGCGCACAGTCCCAGAGAAATTCGTGACAGGAGCGTCTGCAGATCCGACAGGAAGTGCTCAGGTACAGCCGCCCGACAGACGCAGGGATTTAGGGACAGCACCGTGTCGGGGGCGGTAATTAAGGGGTCGCTTAAGACACTGTCACTGCATCTCCTGTCCCCTGACAGGCTCTGCATGGTCACGAGTCAAATGGCAACACAAGGCAGGCAGGTGGGGGACAAGGACACACTCAGCTATCAGGGGTCCTGTGTTTTTTTTCCTAAACACCTTTCAGTGACTTAAGTGTCTGACCCACCCCTCAAGAAATAAACCCCCATCGCATTTTGTTTTGTCAGCGCTGGATGGCACGGCAACCTTTACGGTGCAACTTGTGCCCTTTCTGAAAATACGATCCCGTGTGACACTCCGAAGTCAGACCTGCTGCACGTTTCTGAAAGGCAGGCGGGGAGGATCAACCAGAGAAGTCTGACGTCACGGCAAAGCCACGTAATGACATTTCGCCTTCTCACCGAAATGCCAGCTTAAAGCCTGGAAGCTACCTCTGCTGGACACACGTAGCTGATTCCTGAGTGCAGACAGCACGCCCCCATTTCCTGGGGAGTCATGCTGCTTAAATATGGCCGAGTTAGATGAGGTGCGGGCAGGGGTGCCAGAAGCCATTTACAGATAAGAATTTCAGAAGCTCCCGGAAACCCACTTACCACGTCGTAAAGACAAGGGAGAGCTCCGGGGGTGCGGGCCGATGCAAACCCACCGAAATGTCTATTCGAGGACCTATTTAAAGAGGAACCTGGACACTGCACTTTTCTGGAGGATCGAGCCTCTGTAAGAATCTGTGAGGGTGCAGTGGTACACAGTCTCGCTTGGGATCCAGCTTCTGAAACAACTACTAAACATTTTTTTCCTGCTTTGCAAAGAAAAAAAAAAGACATTTTTTCTTGTTAAAACCCTTTATTTGAACAATTTAAAGAAAACAAAAAAGCTAATGTAAAAATGTTTTAACAGTGTAAAAAAAAAGTAATATTTTTGTTCACTAAAGCTGGTGTTCTTTAAATTCAGGTCTCCCAGCTGTCGTTGGGGAAGTCACACTTGGGGTTGGGGGGTATTGGGGTGGTGATATTACTTGTAAAGTCAATTAAATTAATTTATTTTAGCCAGATGAGGGAGAACACACGTATGAATGAGCCACTAAACAGGTCTAGAGATCGGACACGAGGTCTCAAAGCAAAACGGTACAAAATAAAGAGTTAAAAGTTCTGGAAGGAAAAAATACATAAACAACAAACTTACAAAATGAAGGTGGGCTTCACAAGAGAATAAAAATAAACCTTTACATTCATCAAAGTAGGTCAAACAAGTTCACCAAGTGATTATCAGTCAAAAATGTAAAAACCATTTAAAGTTTCCAATCGTGGGCTCATTCGTAACCTAAAGCACACAGAGCAGGGTGACATGGGGGGTCTTTGTTCAGTCTTCCTTATAGGTTTACTTCATTATGCTGGTATTTCACACACACAGGTGGGACCTACATCTCGTCTTCTAGACGAGAATCGGCCAACTCGGATCCAGGATCGAAAGTACAAAAAAAATGTAAGATTTAAGAAAATCCGGGAAACGTGTGGAGAGGCAGGAATGCACTGTGAGCGGGGTGGGTGGGGGCGCTCGGGGTTATATACATCACAAAAAGAACAGGGGGGAGGCTGTACGCCCACTGGAGACTCAAAACTACAAGAAAAAATGTTTAAAAAACAAAGTTTGGGAACCACGTCCCGAAAGGTGTGCATCGTCATGGCGACCTCACTGAGGCTGTGGTGAGTGCATCAGGCAGCGGTAGCCCAATGCAGGAAAAACCCAGAAAATGAGAGATCTGAGGAAAATGGAGAAAAAAGGAATCCCTGATTCAGAAGAAAGTGCCGGCAGTCTGACGGGGCTGTTCGCGGGAGAGGTGCCCGTCGCACAAGCACTCCTCCCCGGGGGTCGCCTGGCGAGGAACCGGCTGGGCGGGCCGCGCGGGTGAGGGAGGCGGGGGGGCACCGGACACACCGGCTCACAGGTTTCGACCAAAAGAAAGGAGGAGGAGGAGGAAAAAAAAAAAAAAAGATTTGCCGTGCAACAAAGCGCAAACGCACCGCTCTCCAGGCCGAGGTCTCCGCTTCTCCCCGCTCCGCCGTCATATTGCACAATCCATCCATGTGTTACAGGTAGTTTGATTCCGCGTCGCTTTCCCGACGCCTGCGGGTCGTCCCGAACGCTACACTCTTCTCTCGTGGACGGACTCGGACTATCGGCCCCACGAACCATTCCTGTCCTATGTGCTAAACTGGTCTACTGCTTTCAGCGTCGAGCAATGCTTTTTTACCAAAAAAAAATTAAAAATACAAAACACAAACTAGCTAACTAACTAACTAACTAATTGGGGCCTTAGACTGGAACGCTTGTGCTTTTGTGGGTATGGGTCACTACATTCAAGACTTAATTAAAACGGGGGGGGGGGGGGGTGGAGATTCATAAGGTGACAGTGTACAGCTTTGAGGCCCTAACATACCCCCTCGCACATATAATCTCGGATTTGGTCCAGGAGGTCGGTCTCTAAAATCACGAACAGCGAAAAGGGTGAGGCTTATTTGTAGGTGCAACCTGCAGTCTGGATCGTTCCGTGCCGGTGACCACACAGAAGCCTGAACGGAACGTGGCCAGGTCTGAACTGGGCGGGGTGGTGGCGATGTGAGGCGAATACGCTGTAGTGTTACTGCTTGTAAACTTTACCCAAAGATGGTCTTTAAAGGCCACAGAAATATCCGAGTGCTCAGTCTCCCCCCCCCGCCCCCAATAAGGGGACACCCAAAATTGCAGGGGCGGCGTCTGTATGGTAAAAGGAAAGAAAACAAAACAAAAAGCACAAAAGGAAAGACAGGCCCCAGCCTGGATAATGGTGGGGGGAACAGGTGAGCTTGTGTGGGGGCTGGGAGGAAGGTGAGGAGAGCAGAGGGCCTCTGGGCTGTTCCATTTGTGGGAAGGAGGGGGGCAAGGAAAGGGCATCTGGACTGTTCCACTTGTGGGAAGGGGGGGTGAGCAGAGGGCCTCTGGGCTGTTCCACTTGTGGGAAGGGTGGGTGAGGAGAGGGCATCTGGGCTGTTCCACTGGCGGTATGGGGGGAGGACAAATAGAAGGGAAGGCTGTTGGGCTGTTCCACTGGTGGAATTAAAGGGGGGGTGCGTGGAGATGGCCTTTAGGCTGTTCCACTGGCAGAGTAGGAGAATTGTGGGAAGTGGGGTCTCCTTTCACTGTCAAATGACTCCATGTTTTCATCTAAAAACAAGACAGAGAGCCAACCATGGCGGGCATTAGAAGACCAAACATTGACAGAGTGATGCAGAGTGAAAGGACAGGACCTTGTTCTTCTATGAAATGAAGAAGAACTGCATCACCAGCTCGAAGCAAAGCTAAAGAACCTCACAGCGCTGCCAGCAGGGGGCACCACTCAAATGAGTGATATCAGCCCCTGCCCTGGGTCTCTAACTGAATAGGCTATCCTGCTCAATACAGCAAATACAATCCTGAGTTTCAGGTGAGGGAAGCTCAGGTCAATCGGGATGCCAGCAACCAGCAAGCGATTCCAGCAAGGGTGCGAACATCAGCCGGCCTTTTGCCTTCCCAGAAGCCCTGGGGCTGTCTTCAGGGTGGATGTGTCTCAACACAAAACAGTAATCGCATATTTATGCTCTGGCCTGCATCTCACCCCAGTATTAGCCGCTAATGCAGAGTCTCCTATCCTGTGCGGAAGGCAAAAGGCCGGCGGCTTGCAGGTACGGCCCCCACCACACAGCTGGCTCTCACCTGACTAATGGGGGCTAGGGTGTTATGGCTGTATTTCAGAGGGGGGGGGCGTACCTTGTCCCGGGGGAGTGATAGTGATGGTCTGACCCGTGAACTCCTCGTCGAAATACCGCGTGTCCGTCTCTGAGGTGACCTGGGGCTTAAAGGGGGGCACCAGCTGCGGGAGAGGGAGGAAAACACTGGTTCAGGGCCAGATCAATCAGCTGACGGACCGCCCACCGCCCACGTCTCAACCAATCGGCAGGTCACAGGCAGTACAGCTTCAGCAAAAACAAATGTTTTAACGAGAGGAGGGAGGAGCATAAAATAAATACCTCCCCCCCCCCTCCGAAAAAAATATGTGTATGGGTGGCAGCTGTCTGGTCCTGAAGGTGGAGGCACAGAGCTGCCCCTAACTAGCTGGGCGGGGTCCCGTTGTGACACAGACGTTAATTACTAGTCTATCGCCGGTCGATTCCCAAAGCCGTCCTCTTTGTTTCCACTCATTCATTCGCCTGATTAGCGCGTAATGAATGCAGATGCCATTGAGAGAGTCCCGCCCCAAGCCGGGGGCCCTGGGGGGGTTCAGGCAGAGCCGCTGGGCTGAGCTTGGAGGCCGCAGGTGTGTCAGCACCACTCTGAGGAGAGCGAGTGGTGGGGGGGGGGGCATTTGGGGCAACGGGTCTGTTACCTTCTTCTCATAAACATCCTGCCAGACGATCCCGGTGAAGAACTTATGCTGCATGATCTCCTTGGCGTCGAAGGGGCCCCCTCCTAACCTGGAACGGCAAGCAAACCAAAGGCACATTACCGCAGGGCCCATCTGTGCTGCCCACATCAGGAACAGGAAGCAGTCCCTTGTACGACATCACTTCCTGTTACACCATACAGTCCCATCCTCCATCATGCCTCAGGATGCATCCGAATTGGCACACTTGTTTGCTATGTAGTAAGCAAAATATAGTATGCAACATAAGCAGTATGCACGAATCCTCAGTATAAGTGAGACTATACACGAATAATACCCGAATGTCATACTACATTCTGCGAAATTTTTGTCCAAATTTTTTGTTGGCGGAGGGAGTGTCTCTCTTCAGTTTAAGTAGAAAACAACGCTCAGATACATCAGGTGACTCAAATATGTACCATTTCCACTGACAGATTTAAAGTTTTTAACTTTCGCTAATAACTTTAGCTAATATGAAAGATGGCGACTGCGGTGTGCCTGAATGCAGGCATTCTCATCTCACGCATTCGTACAGTATGTACTGCATTAAGTAGTAGGCTTCAGATATAATTCGGTTCCTACTGAATAAGTCTGCGATTTCAGACTCACCTCTAGTCTTTAATAAGAGGGCAGACATGTCATACACTGTATAATTATTCCGGAGAAGGACAAGGAAAAGGTGGGGCTTAGCTTAGAGGGTTTCTGCTCTGTGCACAAACAGCGACTTGCCTCTGCTTGGGGTCCTTCTTGAGCAGCCCGGAGAGCAGGGATCGGGCCTCAGGGCCCAGCGTGCGGGGGAACCGGATCTCCTCCATGAGGATGAGCTCAAAGAGCTTCTCGTGGTCCTGGTTGTAGAAGGGCAGCCGGCCGCACATCATCTCATACATGACCACACCGAGACCCCACCAGTCCACCGCCCGGCCGTAGTCATTGTCCTCCAGCACCTGCCCAATGGAAACCTCGGTCACCTTCAGGGGTGGGGGCGTCCTTACCAGGGTAAGGGGAGATACTGGGGAGTAAAGCAAGTAGCTGGCAGGCTAGCGGTGAGTAATGGGAGTAACGCAGCAGGCTAGCGGTGAGTAATGGGAGTAACGTAGCAGGCTAGCGGTGAGTAATGGGAGTAACGTAGCAGGCTAGCGGTGAGTAATGGGAGTAGTATAGTAGGCTAATGGGGAGCACGGAGAGTGCGCTAACACGCTAGCGGTGAGTAATGAGAGCGGAATGGAGAGGAGCGGCGTAGCCGGCTAGCGGTGAGTCACGGGAAGAGTGCCGAAGGCCTGAGATAGGCCAGTGTTTCCAGGGGTCCGGTGCTTCCGTACGCCGCTATCATGTATTCCCCCCCCCCCCCCACAATGGGATTTCCTCGGCTAAAAACAAAACGGGAGTAAATATACAGAAAGCAGGCAGTGAGCAGCAGACCCATGCTGCCGCGAGGCGTCACCGCACAGCACCGCTCGTAAGGGGGGTTACGATCCCTATGGGGGTGGGGGGCACACCTTAGAAATGAAAGCACAGGGTGGAGAGGGACGGCGGATGCTGGCGATGCATGTGTGTGTGTGTGTGTGTGTGTGTGTGTGTGTGTGTCGGTGTGCGCGCGCAGTGTCGCCGTGGTGATCAGGTTACCGGGCCGTCTCGATTTCCAGCGCGGCGGGAGCACGACGCACCCGCAGAGACAGCTGGGCCCGCAGCTGCCCCATATATGTGCAGGAGCAGCACAGCTGTGAGCGCCGGGCTGCACGGGAGCGCGACGCAGTCACGCAGACGCAGCATACACACGCGCAGACGCACTCACACGCACTGCTCCATTCAAGACGAGCCCTGCTTACACATGCACACTGGCACCCAGTCTGCGCCCCCCCCGCAGCAACTCAACCTCTACATGCAAGTCAAACAGGTACACCACCACTTTCCGGCCAGAAGACATGCACAAAGGAAGCTGTCGGGGGTGGGGTTGTGGGGGGGGGGGAACACAAACTTCATTCTTGCGACTGGTGTTTTTATTACACTAATGCAAGGACAAGGACGGGCCTTTGGCTGAAAGGGGCGAGCGTCTGTGCTGCGCGACAGCCCGTTCCCCCCCCAGATTTTCCCCCCCCCCCCACAACCCCACCCCCGACAGCTTCCTTTGTGCATGTCTTCTGGCCGGAAAGTGGTGGTGTACCTGTTTGACTTGCATGTAGAGGTTGAGTTGCTGCGGGGGGGGGGGGGCGCAGACTGGGGGCCAGTGTGCAAGTGTAAGCAGGGGTCGGCTTGAAAGGGGCCGGGCGGGGGAG